AAGTGATCATGAGATAGGTAGCACACTTCAAGTAGAGAAGCAAATGAAGATCATAACATGACAATGGTGATAGCATGGAGATGATCAAGGGCTTAAACTTGAAGAGAAGAAAGAGAAAAACAAAAAGCTCAAGGCAAAGGTATAACTTGTAGGAGCTATCTTATTTTGGTGATCAAGACACTTAGAGAGTGTGATCACATTTATGTTTGATAGCCGTACTATTAAGAGGGGTGAAACTCGTATCGGAATGCGGTTATCAAAGTGCCACTAGATGCTCTAACTCATTGCATATGCATTTAGGATCTAGTGGAGTGCTAACACTCTTGATAATATTTGTGTAAATATGCTACCACATGTGTACAAGGTGTTTGTAGGATCTAGTGGATTCGGCGCTTTCGGGAAAATGAAATATCTATTTTCTATTGCGCCGGATGCAAAATTCTTGGTGGTTGGCACTCTTGAGCAAGGGTGAAGAAGTAAGAGTTGAAATGGAGTTGATCGAAATGATGCTGGCGTTGGTCTACTGACCGGACGCTGGGTCACTCAGCGACCGGACGCTGAAAGGCTGCCTCCGGTCGAGCTGTCAGACGGCACAGTGGCTAGGGTTGAGCACCGGACGCTGGCTGCGTCCGGTCAAGGTGGACCGGATGCGTCCGGTCAAAAAAACATGCCTCGGGGAGCTTACTGGAAACGACCGGACGCTGGGGCTTCAGCGTCCGGTCAGTTTTACCAGAACGTCCGGTCAGCGTCATAGCCGTTGGAATCTGACGAACAGCGTTTGAAGCTGGTGACGCGTGGCGTCCATCGGGCGACCGGACGCTGAGGGCCAGCGTCCGGTCAGTATGACCGGAGCGTCCGGTCAGAGCGCGTTTTGCCCAGTGAAGGGGTATAACGGCTCTATTTGATTGGGGCTCTATTTAAGCCCCATGGCCGGCTGTGGCTCACATCTTTGGCCATTTCTACTGACATAGCATACTTGTGAGCTTAGCCAAAGCCCTCCCACTCATCTACATCATTGATTCATCATCATAGTGAGATTGGGAGTGAATCCAAGTGCATTGCTTGAGTGATTGCATCTAGAGGCACTTGGTGATTGTGTTTCGCTGCGGATTTCGCTTGTTACTCTTGGTGGTTGCCGCCACCTAGACGGCTTGGAGCAGCAAGGATCGTTGAGTGGAGGAGGTGATTGTCTCCGACTCCGATCGTGGTGATTGTGAGGGGTTCTTGACCTTTCCCCGACGGAGCGCCAAAAGGTACTCTAGTAAATTGCTTGTGGCTTCTGTGATCCTCATCTTGTGTTGGTTGTGCGGCACCCTATTGAGGGTTTGGCGAGTGATGCCAATCAGCGCGTGAACCTCCAAGTGAGTGAATCACCACAACGAGGACTAGCTTGCCGGCAAGCAAGTGAACCTCGGTAAAAATCATTGTGTTCATCATTTGATTCCGAGGTGATTGGTCTACATTGGTATTCATTATTGTGATTGATTGGTTCCTACCACTACACGGCGGTATAACTCTCTTGCTCACTTTTACATTACCGCAAACTAGTTATCAAGCTCTTTAGTGTAGCTAGTTGTGAGAGCTTGTTTGTTTGATTAGTGTTGCTCTTTAGTTAGTCTTTGAGAGCACACTAATTCAGCTAAGTGTCATAGCTATTGTGTGGATATACACTATTCGAAATAGAATTGTGGTAGGTGGCTTGCATTTTAGTAGGCTAGCGCAACACTCGCTTCGCCGCAAAATTGTCTAACACATTTTGTTAAGTGTTGTTGTAGATTTTTATTAGGCTATTCACCCCCCCTCTAGCCATTAGGACCTTTCAACAGTGGTGTGTATAGTGGCAGGTAACCCCTGCTGTGCCCGGTTCCTGTCCTGTCAGTTGTTCTGCCCGCACTGTACCTGCGTGCGGCTGACGTTTGCGGGAGTGGTTGGGTGCATTTAATCCGGACGTGACGTTTTGCCAGAGGAGTTCGGTCGGGACGGAGGTTACAAGTACGTCCGCCGAGCCCGGCCTCGAGCGAATCGGAGAATTGGAGATCCGTCCGAGGCCTTTCGGGGCGAGGCTTTGGCGAGAGGGTCTCGGCGAGAGGGCCTCGGCGGGATGTTTTAGGCCTGTTTCGCACGAGGCCTCGGCGCAAGGCCTTGGGCGAATAGGAGAATTCTGCCGAGACCTTGCAGTAGTCTTTTGGCTTTGGTTTTAGCAAGGCTTAAGCAATATTCTTGGATCTTGCTTAGGGTACCCCTTCTTGTGGTATCCGACATCATCCATCTCATCAAAGTTTAAGTCTTCATCTTCACTTGATGATTCTTGTTTTGCCTTACCCTTGGATGATGTGGCCTTGAATGCCACACTCTTCTTCTTCTCCTTCTTTTCTTCCTTCTCATCATCATCTCTATATGTATCATTGTTCATTATATCTCCCAACACTTGGTTTAGTGTCATGGTGTCCAAACCACTATTCCAGCTTCACCCACAACCTTTAGCTGTGTTAGCAACATTTGATGGTGACACAGCTTGTAACAGATTCTCACATGAAATATTTTTCTTTTTGCAGGCTGATAAGAACAATTCCCTTACTCTTTACATCTGAAACCACAACAGAGCCTTAGCAGGTTGTTTGCCCATTTATCCTTGACTTCATTTTTAGTTACAAATACATTACCACAAGCAATTATACGGATTACTGTGGTTTTGTTTTCATAGCACACAGAAACCATTAATTTTCTACAATAGATGATGCAGCGACATTGTAACTGCATTGCAGTAAATAACCTTATTTTTCCTACAATATATATGTCCATTTTTGATTGAATAGAATTCAGTGTCCATTTCAAGTTACGAACTTCGACAAGATTAGTTAACAACAGTCCTCGATGTTTGCTTGAGCAGAATGTTCCTCCCTGCCTTTTAGCCTTGTAATCTACACTTCAGCCTAAAAACCACTCAACCAACATGTGTTACATTTTGTCACTGTTCTTTCCTCGTTGTTGAATTAACATTCTGTATGAACATGTCAGCTCTTGCATTCTTTTCCATACACAATTACCTTAAAACCATGACTGAAGATGGATTCAATGATGCCCCTGCTCTTGAACTAGCTGACATTGGTATAGCTATGGGCGTTGCTGAAATGAGTAAATACTTAGTTTCCAATCTTATTATGTCCACCTTACATCACTTTTTAGTTTCCTATACATAGATCTACCACTCTTCTCAATTGTCGTATTATTTCGGCTTGAGGAAGCCTGTAAAATTATTATTATTTTTACGAAGTGCAATTCCAAAGAATGGTTTTATTGAAGGGAGTGTGGTGTAGGTTATCAGAGAATGATTGTTTCTTAGATTTGCTGCTTTTTAGATAGCCAAGAGACAATGCTTAAGAGCATCAACTTTACTCTAGAGATTTACTTCCTCCTCTAATCCCCCATTCTTTGCTTCTGTTTCGTACCAGAATAGGTGCTGCTGAAAGTGAACAGTTCTTACCGGCAGCCCAGTGGTGTGGTCTCCAGCTCATGGATCTCATCATTATTGTGTCCAAGGTGTTTGATCAAGCACCAATAAGTGGGATTTATGTGAGATTAAACTGTAAGAACTCATTCAATTCATGATTCTAAGACATAATAGTTGTACATGAACGTAACATTGAAAAGACCTGAGACACCTGCATTTGTAGAGTTATAAATCTGATGAATTATTATCTAATATAGGATGTTGCGCGAACCTCAGCTATTTTGGTCACATGTTACTGTCGAATGTTAAGATCATGCTACAAATGCAGTAACAGATATGGATCATAGTATAAAAAATAACCCTCTTTCTAATGGTACAGATATGGGTCAGCAGAACCCAAGTAGCTGCCAGTCTACCTCGACATCTCAAACCTATGTATATAACACCACCTCCAGGACAAAGCATGGCAACACGTTTATGGACTTTTAGACGTTTTCACTCCTGTGTACACTGCATGCTTATCTTAGAATACCTCTACTTTTAGACCCTGTCTATTCTCTCTTTGTATCGTAAATGTAAGTACGGATCTTTTACTCAAGTATTGCTTTAATCCATCATGCCCCGTGTTACTGTCTATCATTTGATCGCGATGATGACCATGATCTGAAAACATACAGGCCCACCTTGTTCCGTCTTGTTTACATTTGGTCCGTGCTTATTACAGGCGGTGATTTTAAATGCAAATTAGGACATGCTGCTCATGAAACCTACAACTGCTTCTTATGATGCCAGCTTCAAAATGCATTGTCAGCCTGATGTATCTTATGAAATTAAATATGGCTTCACCCTATGCTATTGTGCAATCTCCTTTATGTATAAACTGCCCTGTAGCTACCAGCACGCAAGGGCGCGCGCCTTCCACTAGTCGTATATGTATTTCATCACGTATGATTGTTACCGGCCGGTTTGATATCTAAATCCTAGCTCCCTTCGCCCCTGACCACACGGCACTGACGGCCGAGCGAGTCTGACCTATAGTTGTAACGGACAATGACGGATGAAGAAAATACAGATACAGACACAGAGCAGATTTTTACTTTCCCCTGAAGGAACGTGGTGCGAACCACACAACGCTTAGCGGCGACGGAAGGCAAACAGTCTGTTCTTGTGGTTAAAAATGTACGCTAAAGAAAAAGAAGCCCTTTTCTTTTCCATCTGTAAAGAAAAGAATAAGAAGAAAGACCTAGCTAGGTAGCGCTGCTTGTAGTATTAATCCCGTCGTCCTCCACTGCATCTGGAGCGACCCAACCCAAGAAAGTCCTCTCCTATTCTTCCTGCCTGTCCTGTGTGCCCCCGTCTCCGTGCGATCCTCCCAAATCTTTAGCTCACGGCTGGTGTGCTGCACTGCAAACCAGCAGCCCCTGCAGCCTGTGCTGTTCATGATACCGCGAGCCTTGAGAGAGAATGGGGCCGCTGCTGTCTCCATGGCCGCGATCTTCCCACACTAGTCGTAGTGGTAACGGCGACGCTGAGCCTCAAAACCAAACTCATGGCCTTGTCATTGGCATTGGGTGGCCTCTACCTGGTTCAGCGTGTCCTGGTGGGAAAGCGCCGTCGCTCGGGGCACTGGCTCGTCCAGTACGGTGCAATGGCAGCCTACTATCTTCCCGCTCCTCTCGCATTTTATGCTGCCAAAGCTGTGTACTCCACGTCCCACATCGATGAATCTACCCCTTTCCTCGTGGCCGGCGTCCTCTTAATATTGAGTGTTACAGTTCGAGAGGATGTACTGCTGCTTGTCACCAACATGAGAGCCTATTCTCTCCACTACCATCCACGAGATGGTTACAATTATCTCATGTGGCTAGTCTTCCTTGGTTGGGTATATTTGGAATGGGCTCGGATTCCAGTTTGCAATCGCAACTGGTGTTGGTGGCGATGGCTGGTCGGACTTCTGAAGATGGGTCTACCTTTTCTCGTGTTTTTAAGTATGTTTGTTGATACATCAGACTCCACCTTGGATTGCCAGACCAAAGCAGTTGCTGACTACATGAAGCGGGAGTCCAGCAAGTCGTCAACAAGCTCACCCTTCTTTGATGATGATGATGATGCTAACCGCAACAGCAGTCTGCTGCTGCTGGATTGTTGCAGATATCCCTTTGTGCAGGGGGGAAATGGGGAATGGGTCACTGTCAAAGATTTGGTGCAGCGAGATGACCTGCCGAATGAGGACAAGGACATTTGGCTCTCCTACAGCTTGTCCCGGCTTTTAGCAAGGCGCTACTATGGGTTCCACTGCACAGAAGAAGGAGATGACAAGGTGCGCCGTCTTGCGCTGGCGGACCTGAGAACAACAGATGGCTACAAGAGGGCATTCACCATTGTTGAGGTGCAGTTGGCTTTCCTTCACGATTACTTCTTCACCGCCTCCCTCCCAATCATAGAATCAGGATTGAAGTACATTGATGCTGCACAAAAGTTAATGGAGGTATTCACAATGATCATTTCAGTCTTGTCTAGTGCCATTATTCCAATCGCCCCGATTGCAACGTTTATGTCATCGTGTACACTATTTGAGACCCCAATGTCGTTGTTGGTTAAAAATCTTTTGGCCATCTATTGGCGTCCAATACACACTGCTTTTTGAAAACTCAATGGTCTCCCCAACGACCGCCTCATCATCATCCGTTTTAGGCCTAATCCTAATGCGCGGGATGTTTTTGACCCGTTTCAAGCTCAAACGGGTGGTGCTTACTGGAGGAACAAAATAGGCCAATACTCAATTCTCCAAGACTACAACCGTCGTCCCTCTCCCAAGAAGGCACTTGTAGCCTGGTTCCACGGAATTGTGCTATCCCAACCATCGTATGGGTTCATCAATCATCTCCCAGTAGAAGAACAAGTCGATATGCTGTAGCTGGACAACATGAGAGAGTTGGTTGCCGATACTCTCCGAGATATAGATGGCCCGCCAACAAACGGTACCAGATCTCTGAAGATTAACATGGATCAGATAAACTGGGACGAGATAAGCAGGGGCAGTGCTGGTTATGACTGGTTATTGACCTGCAAGCAAGAAACTCACACGGACACCATCCTCATATGGCACATAGCAACCTGCTACTGTGACATGTCACTGCGCCATTGTGATCAGCAGGAAGGGTTCCCCCGATTAGCCGACACCGACACTTTCCATGAAGTTGCCACAACATTGTCAAGGTACTGCGCCTTGTAAGAGGGAAATAACGAATGGCAGACAACTCAAGTTGTATTGCTCAAAGGCTTACGCCTATATACAGGTACATCACGGTTGAGATTAGCTACAAACAAGGAGAGCCTTAGGTCGTGCAGAACATAGAGAAAACTGTTCGCTAACACCCCCCTGCAGTGTGAGCGTCGTTGCCGGCGACGCACAGACTGTTCCGGAACTCCTTGAAGCTCGCCGTCGGTAGTCCTTTGGTCATCACGTCGGCGAGCTGCTGCGTCGTGGGTACAGGAAGAACCTTGCATTGGCCAACGGCAACTTTCTCCCGTACAAAGTGCACGTCGAGCTCGATGTGCTTCGTTCTTTTGTGATGCACTGGATTGGAGCTCATATAGCAAGCCGAGACGTTGTCGCAGAACATGATCGTGGCCTTGGTCAGTGGACAGTCCAGCTCGCCAAGCAACTGCCGGAGCCAAGTGCATTCAGTCACGGCATTTGCGACGCCGCGGTACTCCGCTTCGGCGCTGGATCGGGAAACTGTTGTTTGTCGTTTGGAGGACCACGATATCAGCGAGTCCCCCATGAACACACAGAAGCCCGATGTTGAGCGCCGCGTGTCGGGACACCCCGCCCAATCAGCGTCTGAGTAGGCGGTGAGATCGGACAGGTTAGACCGACGGAGATGAAGGCCGAGCGCCGTAGTCCCGCGGATGTATCGGAGGATTCGCTTGACAAGTCCCTGATGCGCTGTGGTCGGAGAGTGCATGTGGAGGCATGCCTGCTGGACGGCGTACTGCAGGTCCGGCCTTGTCATGGTCAGGTACTGAAGGGCCCCGACCATGCTGCGATATTCGGAGGCGTCGGCAGACGATAGAGGACTGCCAGCAGCACCGGATAGTTTGCCGGCAGTGTCGATCGGCGTGTCGCTGGGGCGGCAGTCCGCCATGCCGGCTCGTTCCAGCAGGTCCATGGCGTATTGTTGCTGCTGAAGAAGGAAGCCATCAGAGCGCCGGGTCACCTGAATGCCAAGGAAGTAGTGCATCGGCCCCATGTCTTTGAGCTTGAATTCAGCATTGATATCGTGGATGATGCGCCGCAGGGTGTCACTGGAAGAAGACATGAGCACGATGTCATCGACGTATAGCAGCAGGTAGACGGACTCCTTTCCTTGTCGAAGCACGAAGAGGGAGCTGTCGGATCGTGTTGGCTGGAAGCCTATGGTGCCGAGAAAGCTAGCCAGCCGCATATACCAGGCCCTGGGCGCCTGCTTGAGGCCATAGAGGCTCTTGGAGAGTCGGCACACCAGATTGGGGTTGTTGGTGAACCCAGCAGGTTGACGGGCGTACACCTGTTCGTCGAGGACGCCATGAAGGAAGGCGTTGTTGACGTCGAGCTGGTGCACAGGCCAATCACGCTGGGTAGCCAGAGTTAGCACGGTGCGCACTGTCGCCAGTTTGACGATGGGACAGTACGTCTCACCGTAGTCGACGCCCACGCGTTGAGTGAATTCGCGAGCCACCCAACGTGCCTTGTACCGATCGATGCTCCCGTCTTCCTTGAATGTGTGACGGAAGATCCATTTGCCGCTGACGATGTGGGCGCCGGGTGGGCGAGGAACGAGTTCCCACGTGTTGTTGGCGATCAGAGCATTGAACTCGGACTGCATGGCTGCTGTCCAATTGGGATCCTTGAGCGCCTGATTCACCGTGCGCGGGATCGGCGAGATGGTCGTCGTGGTTACTGTCCCGGCGTAGCGTGGGTTGGGCTTGAAGATCCCGGCGCGCGCCCTGGTCAGCATGGGGTGCGGTACATGAACAGCGGGCGCCTGGGTAGACGAGGAGGAGCCGGTGGCCACGTCCGGCGACGAAGATCGCAGCCCTGTCAGGGACGCGCGTGACGCAGAGGTGCTGTGGGACGGCGTGGACGATGGTGAACGTGCCACGGAGGAGGAGGGCCATGGCGTGGAGGCGCCGGTTGACGCAGCTGTCGATGGTGACCGCGGCGACGATCCGTCGGACGGAGCTGGGGAAGCAGTCTGGGGCGATCCTTGGTTCGCGCACGGTGTCCTGCGTGGCGAAGCCGGTGGGGAAGGCGGGAGATCCGCAGTCGTGCTGCGTGGATCAGGCCGCCACGGATCGTAGGCGATGGTGGTTGGGGAGGCAGACGACGATCCTGAGCGATACGGGAAGACACCTTCGTCGAAGTAGACGTGGCGCGAGGTGATCACTTTGCGCGTCTGCAAGTCATAGCACCGATATCCACGATGATCCTGCGAGTAGCCAATAAACACACACGCCACAGATCGTGGAGAGAGTTTGTTAGGGCTGGTGGCTGCGGTATTTGGGTAACAAAGGCACCCAAATACTCGCAGGGAGGTGTAGTTAGGATCAGTGTGATAGAGAAGGGAGTAGGGAGTGGACAGGGAACGTGGCTTGCACGGTTTGCGATTGTGTTGGTAAGTGGATGTGTGCAAAGCCTCGACCCAAAAGATAGGTGGGAGGCCGGCGTGCAGATGCAGTGTACGAACGCCGTCGTTCAGAGTGCGCAGCACACGTTCCGCTTTGCCGTTTTGTTGCGAGGTGTAAGGGCAAGAAAGTCGGAATGAGATGCCATGCTCGGAGTAGAACTGACGGAGTGTGGAGTTATCAAACTCCTGTCCATTGTCAGTTTGAAAAGAGCGGACACTGCTCCCAAATTGTGTGCGAGCAAGGGCATGGAACGACATGATGTGTTGGGCAACCTCAGATTTGCGGCGCAAAGGGATGGTCCAAACAAAATGCGTGAAATCATCCAAGAGCACAAGATAATACTGAAAGCCAGTGAAACTTGCAACCGGTGACGTCCAAACATCGCAATGAATTAATTCAAAAGGTGCAATTGTTTTATGCTGTGACTGTGAAAATGGGAGACGAACATGTTTGCCAATCCGGCAAGCATGACAAGTATGAGGGAGATCTTTATTACAAGAGAATGCAAAGGACTGAAGAAGACGACGGAAAGACTCGCGTCCGGGGTGTCCAAGTCATTGGTGCCACAGGTCTGCAGAGAGGGCGGTGAGGCAGTGGGTGGGTGCAGCGGCCATCGGATGTAGAGGATAGAGGTCGCCCTGGCTATCACTGCGGAGAATCACCTCCCGGGTGTGTCGATCCTTGATAGAGAAACCACAAGCGTCAAATTCAACAGTGATAGAGGTCGCCCTGGCTATCACTACGGAGAATCACCTCCCAGGTGTGTCGATCCTTGATAGAGAAACCACAAGCGTCAAATTCAACAGTGATAGGATTATCACGTGTAAGAGCGCGAACGGAAATAAGATTCTTGATCAATGATGGAGAGATAAGAATGTTGTTAAGTAATAGAGAGGTGGAAGAGGTGGGTATGGAAGAGGAACTAGTGTGGGTAATGGGAAGAGAGGAGCCATTACCAACAATGATCCGCGTTGAGGAGGAATTGGGAGAGAGGGAGGAGAGGTTACCGGAGCCTTGAGACATGTGGGAGGAGGCGCCGGTGTCAAAGAACCACTCGCCGGTGGACTGAGGCTGGTGCAGCGATATGTTGTTGAGAGTGGCGAGGAGCTGCGGGTCCAGCGGAGAGGAAGCGCCGGCGACATGGGCTTTGGGGGTTGTGGCAGGAGGTCTAGGGCCGAGGACGCCTGCCGTCGGAGCGCGTGGGGCCTGGAACGGCCACGCCTGGACCATGCCAGTCCAGGGGTTCATGGAGGGCCAGAAGACCGGCGGTGGAGCCTGGGAGGAAGGCGCACCCTTCTTCTTCTTTTTCTTGGCGTTGGAGGAAGACTGGAACGAGCGTCCACCAGAGGCCGGGGTAGCAGGAAACGTGGCCGGCTGTTTCCCGGTGCCAGTGCCCTGCGACGGGTGCGCGTTCGGGGCGGCGTGGGTGACGAACGCTGCCGCAGCCTGAAGATGTGCAGCCGTAGGTGGTGCAGGAGGCGCACTGGACGAGGTGGAGCTGGCGGTTGCGGCTTGAGCGACCAGCGCCGCCGCGGCCTGTATCTTCTCGGATTCGGCGTTGCGGTGTTCCTCGAGCTGAAGCATGGATCGAGTCTTGAGGAACGACGGCAGGCGGCGACGAAGAGTGATGTGCGGGATTGCGTGATGAAGACGGGGGTTGAGGCCACGCACAATGTTGTAGATGAGATCTTTGTCGTTCACCGGAGCGCCGAGCCCGGCCAGCCGATCCGCCATGACCTTCATCTTGGAGCAGTAGTCGAGGACGGGGAGGTCGCCTTGGTAGAAGTTGTGGAATTCAGCACCAAGGTAGACGGCACGAGTGTCCTTGTTGTCGCGGAAGAGGTTGCGGACGCCACGCCAGAGGGAGTAGGCGGTGTCGGCGTCGCCGGAGACCATGGACAGGAGCTCGGGGGAGATGCGGTTGTAAAACCACGACACGATGGCGCAGTCATTCTGCACCCAATCGTTGTCGCCCTTAGCCGGGGTGCCGTCGACATGGTCGCGGAGACCGTATTGCCCGAAGACGGTAGAGAAGGAGCGCGCCCAGGCGACGTAGTTGGCGTCGTTGAAGTCGAGGACGAGCGGGACTCGCGACTGGATGTTGATCCCATGGACAACCTTCGGAGCAGCAGGTTCGGTCTGGACTTGGAGCAGGTGGGGAAGCACGGACTCGGCGTCGGAGTTGTCGGAGGTCGACGAGGAGGAGGAGGAGGAAGAGACCATGGCGGCGGCGAGCGATTGGTGGTGAGTGGGCAGCGGAAGAATCGGATAGAGGAACGCCAGATACCATGTAAGAGGGAAATAACGAATGGCAGACAACTCAAGTTGTATTGCTCAAAGGCTTATGCCTATATACAGGTACATCACGGTTGAGATTAGCTACAAACAAGGAGAGCCTTAGGTCGTGCAGAACATAGAGAAAACTGTTCGCTAACACGCCTACCTAGTGTTTCAAAGAGTCTTGCAGGAAGCACAGCAAGAACTAGGAACAAAGCCAATGAAGGACGAGGAGAAGCGAACCAAGATCCGAGGGCTACAGCTACCAGACCAGCAGGAGCAGCAGACGACCTTTCACAAGGGTGTTGAGCTGGGGCGACAACTGGAGATGATCGATGACGACAAGGTACGCTGGAGGTTCATTGCAGAGTTCTGGGCGGAGACAATCATGTACGTCGCGCCGTCTGAGAACGCGGAGGCACACATCGAGCACCTGGCCAAAGGCGGGGAGTTCATCACGCACCTCTGGGCCATGCTCTCCAATGCCGGCATCGCGAAGCGCGCAACAGGGGAATGGCATCAGCCTGCTTCCACTACCAAAAAGTAAGCAATTTGTGAGCTACACGGCTAGCCATGGGTGCTAATTAAAACACCCAGCTTGTTAATCTTTTGTACTCAAGCCTCCAACTGATGTGATGTTAGGTCCTGCAAATTTTGGTTTTTGATTTTGTTGGTCCATTCTATCTAGCTTCATATGGGAATTTTTTTTTCTTATTATGCAGAGGACCGCCAAAGAAGATAGAGACCACCAAAGCAAGAACTCAGGAGTGCCCCTTTTAATGATGGGTGTTAAGGAAAAAGCAAGTTAAAATTAAGGCTATTTCACAGACCTGCAATGGCCATTAGAAGCAAAGAAACTTGATCGTTCTAGCTCTGCAGTGAGCACAATAGTGATCAGCATGTGCTTTTGTGCTTAGTTATACCTACTTATTACCTTTTACTGAATCTGGTGAATCATGCTTGGTCTTATGTGATCATGTTCCGAACTAGTAGTGTTGAACTTCTTATGTTGTGTTTCAGATCAGTTTGTCAACTATGTGTTGGGCCGGATGTTGGGCTTATGTATTGGCTTTATTGAACATGTACTATTGAACCTAGCTGTGTTGAACATGTTCTCTGTAATCAAGCTTTGTTGAACATATGCCAGATGTTGGACGTACTCATGTATTGGCTTTGATTTGTTGAAATATGCTATTGAACTGGCAAAATATTTAGTGCAAACCACATCTTCAGTGCAATGCGTGAAAACCCCATTAAAACCATACATAGGAGTTTTCAAAAAATTTGAAACTACGCATACCAATAGTGCATCTATAGACATGCATTGTGACAAAATTTGAGATTCAAACTCGTTTTGCAAAAATTCATATGAAAATAACAAATTTGATTTGCATATATGGAATCAAGCCGTGTTCAACACTTCAACTTGTTATAGTTGTGTGATGGTTGATGATATATTATTATTATTATATATTATTATTACAATATCTTGTGATCCTCATTTGTCTATGCTACAAAAATGTTCTTATATTTACCAATCATGTATGCTTCGTTGCCAACTGGGACTATGGAGAAGATAAATCTTGCCATTGATGTGGAAACAAAATGAGAACGTGACGTTTACATATTTGTGAAACAAATGACACAGTTGGTGAAAAAAGTTTCATTGTTGTGCTAAGAATCCAAGCTGGGACAAAATCAAATTGACTGTAGGGGTAAATCCATCCTTCCACTGCTACTATACAGTACAATTAACAATAGTGTCATACATGACATAAATATTAAAGTAGATGTCAAATAAGACATAAATATTAGCCTTCCACTGCTACTATACAGTACAATTATTAGGCTGCTTTTTTTTTTTGAGAAAAGGCTGCTTGTTACTCATGTATACTCAAGCCTCCGGCTGTGATGTTGGGCCGTCAGGCCCATTTTGCTTTATAGGGCTTTTTTTTCTTTTTATGCAATTCATGAAATTCTTCTAACATCACTGCTCTTTTAAAAATGTTTCTTCCATATACTCTTGTCAGATCAGTTTGTTAGTCACAGCTTTTGTAAAAATCTTAAAATGACATTAAGTATACAAATCGGTCTATATTGATATAAGGGGAGCACTATATTTTTTTATGGTATACGGGAAATTTAATTTAGAAAAAAAAAACTTATAGGTACTTCCGGAACAGTAATATGTACAGAGTCACAGACTATATGTTGCAAGTTTGTAAAAACCTTAGCAGTGGCATGCTAAGCCTATGCTTTTGAAAAATATACACATATTTTTGCTTGCATGGGTGAACCGAACCAGTTCTCATTCGCCATTTTCCCCAGCTGTGCATGTATGTACATACTAACATACAGTACTCTCATCCCACGTAATTAATGGCTAAAAAAACACACAAAAACTCGATCGGACATACTGCTGGAACTAAAGGATGAAGTACTGCTGCTTATCGTCCAGCTGCTGCTTGCCGCCTGATGATCTCCTGATGCCGCGGTCAAGGCCACCACGCGCGGCCGCGGACGCGGACGACGACGAGGCGGAGGGCGAGGTGGTGGTGGGCGCGCGGAAGCCGATGTTCTCGACGGCGCCGACGGTGTTGAAGAAGAGGCGGCGGTTGAGCTCCTCCACCAGCGTGCGGTGCAGCAGCTGGCTCCGCATGTCCACCATCGACCGGTTCCGCGTCATCCTCCTCCGCCGGCTGGTCCCGTCGTTGTCCTCCCGCCGCCGCGGCCGCCCGGCGTGCTGGTGCTGCGGCGACATGCTGCACTGCCGCTGCAGCTGCCGCGCGAGCTGCACGGCGGCGGAGCTGCTGCCACCGCCGCCACCGAACCTTGTCTTGGATGAGCCGCTGCCGGTGCAGCAGCCGGGCATGGGCTCCGCCTCGTCGGCACCTGAGGCGTAATGCAGAGGAGAGTACTTACCGGAGTGCACGGAGCTCATGTCATCGTCGTCGCTTAAAGCGTACCAGTGATGATGATCTACACCAACAAAGTTTTTTTGCACAAGAATGCACACGTGTCAAGGCTCATTGTCACAGTACTCTCCCGTGCAAAGCAGCGAGTAGGCAGGCACTAGGCTATAACATAACAGGTACTCTCTCGATTCTAAACTATTTTAATTAAATTGTTTTTCTATGTATTTAGATATGATCTATGTCTATATGTCTAAAAAATTAGAATGATTTATAATTTAAAATAGAAGGACTATATAGCACCACAACGCCAAATATAAGTCGTGATCATGCCTACGTGGACAACGAACAAAAGAGATGTCGGCAGGCATTTGGGGACCGTTGATGCCGAGTACGTGTATGCATGCGCCTGCACGTACGGTGGTACGACTGCTGCATGCGGTCAAAAAAAAAATGAAAAGGACCTGAACCAGAGGCGCCATAGTCAACATTTCGGCGCAGGTCCAACTCATGGGTTGCGTACGTCATGCACTACACGTAGGCGGCCACATAGGTACAAAAGCAGTTGAGGCCTCTTTGGAATGCAGGATTTTTTTCCCGTTCATGTGTTTTTCCTGTGAAAAATGAACTGAATCATGTGAAATTCCTTTACAATTCTTGTAAAATTCCTGCGTTTCAAAGGGGGCCTGAACAAAGATGCCCTATAGGATATGTCATACATACACGTATGACATGTGCGTTTTGATATGTTTCGACCAAACCTTACTAAACTTGGAGGCTAAATAATTCAAGATCAGGCACACAAAATCTCAAAATGTACTACTACTCGGCTAATCCCTCTAGTGGCGTGATATATGCAGATTTTTTATAGAAAAAGTTCTACTTTTCGAAAACAAATACCCTCCAATTAAATTCAATCATTCAAATTCAATTGGTAACATTCAAACAAGATTCAATTTGTAAAAGGCATTTTCTAGCCAAAGGTTTGGAACTGCAGCCTTAAATAACTCTAAATTCGATAAATTAAAGTTGGTCATGTCAAATACCGAAGGATTGAAGGATCCAAGCGGTTACCTTTGGACCAGCAGCCACCGCCACGTGGGCCAGAGAAGGCGTAGGGCCCCACCCCACAGTGAGAGCCATGTGAGGAGGCGGGAGACGAGGAGAGGTAGCAGAAGGGAGGAGGCCGCTCCTCGTCGTTTTCGTCATCGTCGTCACGTTCCACGTACGTGTACTCGTGCTGCTGCGCTCGCCCCGGCAGCAGCCTGCCGATCTCCTGCTGGATCATGGCGGCGATCTCCGACGCGTCCCGGTCCGCGATGTCCAGCTCCTTCACCATCTCCTGCGCCACCTCCGCCGCCGTGTCGCTCGCCATGTCGAACGGGAAGTAGATGTTGCGCGCGTGCCCCGACGCCTCGTCGGCGATCTGAACCTTCAGGAAGATGGTGTCCTCCTCCGCGTTCAGCTTCCCGGTGATGGTCATGTCATTCCTGGGCGGCGGCGGATGTTGTGGCTCCTGATGCTCGCCCTCGTCATCGTCCAACGACGACGACTCCGAGACGACATCGTCGGCGGAGCTACTACACGTCGAGGGCGGCGGAGCGCCGGCAGCAACAGCAGCTGGCAACGGTGGCGGCGGCACTGGCACCGTGCCAGCAGCAGCGACATGGTGGCGGTGACCATGGTCGTCCAGGAGGAAAGGGTCCAGCAGCAGCTCGGCGGCGGACGGGCGGTTGGCGGCGGGGACGAGGCAGCGGCCGATGAACCTGCGCGCGTCGTCGTCGTCCACCCGGTAGAACGCGTCGGGGAGCCTGCCGGCGGTGACCTTCTTGTAGATCTGCGCCGGGTTGGAGCACTCGCTGTAAGGGTACTCGACGGTGAGCATCTCCAGCATGCACATCCCGAACGCGTACACGTCAACCCTCTCGTCGTACTCCTCGTCGTACATCTCGGGCGCCATGAACTCGGGCGTCCCGATGACGCTGTGCGCGGCGCCGCCACGGCGGCCGAGCACGGCGGCGAGGCCCAGGTCGCCGATCTTCACCTGCCCCTGGTGCCCGTTGACGAAGATGTTGTCGCACTTGAGGTCGCGGTGGATCACCGGTGGGTCGCGCGCGTGGAGGTAGGCCAGGCCGCCGAGCAGCTGCCGCGCCCACGACCGGACGGCGCGGAGGCTCACCCGAGGGTACCGGAGACGGTAGGAGCGCAGCGTGCCGGAGGAGAAGAGCTCCGTGATGAAGTTGAAGCTGCGGCCCGGCACGTCCACCCACGAGGCGTGGAAGCCGATGATGCCGTCGTGCCGGAGCGAGCTCAGCAGCTGCACCTCCGAGTACATGCGCTTCACGGCGTCCGGCGAACGGAGCACGCCGGCGAGGCTCGCCTGGTTCCACGCCACCTCCACGCCCCGCTCCTCATCGAAGCCCCGGTACACCGACTTCATGGCGCCTTTGCCCAGCAGCTCATCGAACTGTTCCATATGCATGTATGTACACGTGTCGCCACGTCGACATATATACGTGCAAAATTAAGCACATTGAATTAGCAACAAATTTGATTTGGGAATTATGGATTTTAGTAAGTATTAGCGTTTTATTTATAATATCTCTCTCGGGATTGATTATTCGCATATCATGTTTTTTAGATTAGTTAGTGATGAAAAAGTGGCAACCACTTCTTTTCTAATGAAAGAACTCTATTTTTTGGAACCGATTTAGTAATGATATTCTTCTCTGATGTCTTTTATCTAAAAAAGAAGGAATTCTACTTTGATGCTAAAATGCATACGTACACTGTTACTAAACTAACACACATGCAAGGAAGCGCTGAAAAGATGAGGAAAAAAGTGAAGTAGACGATTTGATCTTGATC